TTAAATTTTGGTTATGCATTCATTTAGTCATACATTAGCATAACACTGAACTTGTGTTTAAAAAACAAAACAAAACCCCAAATACACATAAGCGTGCTCGAAAGGCACATGGGGTAGGGCATAGGGCAGGCAGGCAGGGTTAAGGACAAGGGTGGAAGAGAGTGTGTGTGACCAGCAACAGCCTAGTCGCACTATAGAAGAGACATGATAGGGAGTGCTCCCAAACCTGTATGTACGCACTTCCTTTCATTAATGCAATCACTGAGAGAACAGGAGTAGTGTGATAAAGTCCCAAGAAAGCAAACAGCAACAGCAAAATTAAACAAGGCACTAACTTATTTTATTTATTTAATTGGAATATTTATACCCCACTCTTCAGCCACAAAGCTCTCAGTGTGACTTACAAATGTTTAATTAGACAGGTTCCCTGCCCTCAGGCTTACAATCTAAAAACTTTAAATTACATTAGGACCTGATAACAGCAGCAAAACCCTAAATCCAATTGCTACTTCGAACTGAAGCAGACAGTTGCTGAATGGTAAGTTGACATTTATGATATCCCATTATTCACTGTATTTAAACCAATTGATTTTATCCAAAATTAAATGTTGCCCCAGCCATAAGGCATAAAAAAGATCTCACCCAGGCACTATTGACCACAGGAATCACCTTGTAGTGGAAACAATTAGTACCTAATCTTCTTACATAAGGTTAAAGTAGCCACACAGAAGAACAGGGTCTTGCAAAACTCACTGCTTAACACTCCTACATTCATTTTTAAAAGCTCCAGTGGGGTTGGGGCCAAGCTCAGTGAAGGCCAACTCCCACCATATTACTTGAATTCAGTGTCCTGATGCCAATGGTAGAGTTTTACATCAAGACCTCAAAGGCATGGTGCTGCTTGTGTGAATGGAGTAGAGCCAAGTGGAGTAGCAGCCTCAAGGACAGTAAATCTTGCTGCTTCAGAAGTTTGAGAATTAAAGGAGAGACTGTTTTCTCCTCATGGGTATTGAATGGGTATTCAGTCTTTGAGATTATCTAAAGAGGCTCTCTGTTAGAGCCACATGCTTCTAATGTCTACTTCCCAGTAATTTGGAGCATGGCATTTAATCTATTGGTACCTTCCATGTGTTGCAATGGTTTGAGCATTGCATTATGACTCTGGAGACAATGGTTTGAATCACTGTTCAGCCATGGACTGCTACTAGATGACCTTGGCCATGTCACATATTCTCAGCCTCAAAGGAAGACAAAGGTAAACTATCTCTCAACAATCTTGGCAAGAAAATCCCATGATTCACCTTAGGATCCCCATGTTCACCTTAGGATCATCACAAGTCAGAAATTACTTGAAGGAACACAACAACAACAACAACAACAACAACAACAACAACAAAGGAATTCTATCTGGAATGCTCTTCCATTAGAACAGCAGCATGAGCCATCTATTCTTCTATTCTGTTTCTGATGGATGTTAAACAGATACTTATTTAAGCAAGCCTCAGATCTAAAAATGGATTTAAACAAATAAATAAATGGTAATCAGCTGCAGGTGATGGTTAGCCTTCAATGGGTTTGCTCCTTTGGGTTGGGATGGGGACCTGGCACTGTGATGTATGTGCATATAGTAGCAGGTGATGTCTGATGGATGGGAAGTGGAGTAGTAGTGACTTATTATTAATTATTCTCTATAGAAATACCAAATCTGGTAATGCTCAAGATCTGAATGTGTATGCCTAGTGATAAGGCAGTAAGAAATTATTCAGATGGCCTTCCTGTCTAAGCGTGTGAAGGTTATCTGAGATGGTATTGATTTCCCTGCAAGCTTAACATCTTGAACTATTTTAGGATTAGGTGCAGTTTAGGATTTCATGGCTTCCATGAAATCATGAGCCTGTCTTGATTAATGTTTGGTCCTATACATGTGCCAAAATTCTATTTTTTGCTAGCCTGGAGTTTTTGCATTCTAGAACCCAAGACAAGTGAAAGGAAATCTTGGAAACTTTATGTAATGGATTAGGAAAACCTTTTGCTGACAAATTTGCTTGCAGCCATTCTGAAATGGACTCCACATTGAGAGTAAATTCTGATGAGGCAGCTGATGTCCAGTTTTTGTCCAGTTTCAATGGCTAAGTTTCAGTTTGTTCAGCTTGTGGACAAGATATTTGATTTCATGAAGTCCACTAATTGTTCATTAGATAATGTATCCATTGTTATTCTTATCTGCTACCCAGTCAACTTTGACTTATGGAGACCCTACGAATGAGAGATCTCCAAGTGCTCCAGTCATCAGCAGCCCTGCTCAGTTCTTGCAAACCCAGGGTCATAGGTTTCCTTCATTGAACATATCCAACTGAACATATCCCCTTTTCCTACTGCCTTCCACTTTGCTGAGCTTCATCCTCTTTTCCATTGAGGCATGTCATTTCATGATATGTCCAAAGTATGACAGCCTCAATTTAGTCCTGGCTGCTAAGAACTGCCACAAGGAGTCATGAATTAAGTGGAGGAGATTGTAAATACCCTTTCTTTCTTTCTTTTGGAAAAAAAAGTTATGTTTGAACTTGTTTAGTCAGAAACTCCCTCCTTATCAGGAGGATCAGGTTGGTGGCACTTTTTTATCAGCTTTTTACAAGTGAATACACACTGCCCTGTTTATCCTGGCCTTTCATGAATTTTCATCTTGTATTTTGTCTTTAGCATGGTAACACTATTTCTCCTTAGATTTTGCTGTTGTGATATATAGTTTTTATTTGATTGTTGATTTAAAGTTTACACCACACTTAAGCAACGATAGACAGAAAAGTGATTTATAATTTAAAATGCATATCTACATACTTTATGAGTGCCCATTGTCTGCATGCTGCTTTAGCTTCACATTTTAAAAAGAGATTGACAAAACAAATATCCTAGGTATGAGCAAAGCTATCTTCCCACATGGCCATATCTATTTTTGATACCACATCTGCTTTGCATGTGAGATTTTCATTGACATTAAAAGGAGTTTCTCACATGGAATGAATTCAGAGTATGAAATGAGAGAATTGGGTAGGGGAATTATCCTAAAGGTGAAATTCCTGAATCATGTTCAAACTGGCAACTGATCATCATTGTCTGGACTGCTTTATCCTTTCTTGATAGGTCAAAATGGTGGCCTTATATTGGGAGTCACGGGGGGAAAGCACTTGGAGGGCTAGTTTTGTATTATCAAGTCAAGAGAGCAGCATGGACTGGACTGAATCGAACCACAGTCTTTTTATTTACAAATTCAACTCAGTAGTTTTTTTTTTTAACCCATTGTCTCTTAGGTCCAAAACAACTGCAGAAATAATCCTGTTTGAGACCTCTTTAACTGCTCTGGTTCAATGCTAAGGAATTCTGGGAGCTGTAGTTTTGTGAGACATTTAGCCTTCTTTGTCAGAGAGCTCTGGTGCCACAATAAACTACAATTCCCAAGATATCCTAGTATTGAGCCGGGGCAGTTAAAGTGATCTCAAACTGGATTATTTCTGCAGTGTGTTTTGAATCTGGTGCCACTCTGAACTTAAGCAGGCATGCATAGGACTGCACTGTTAGCTTCCCTCTTCTCCATGGCCCCTACACCTTTCTGTCTTCTCTCCCCCTCTTCCTTCCTTCTCTTCCTGAAATGCTGAAATTTTTGCTGAGATTGCCACCATTTTCCTCATGTCTATATTTCAGTACTTGTTAGAAAAACAGAGAATCCATAAGTTAATGTGTCCCTTTCTTCTTATTATTTGATACTGGGTTATTGTTATTAGCAGCTTCAAATCATTGATGGCAGTTCAGTTTGTTCTACCCTTCCATCAGACCTATGATATCTGTGTCTGTTGTTGTTAACCTTATCACTATCCCCTTCTGGGAAAAGTTTGGGGGAACCAAAACTAGGACTTAAGGAGTTTTACAGATTAAAACAAATAGAGTATAACTAAAACATCAAAAAGGTTAACATTCAAATTAATTAACTGTCAAATAACATTAACAAAAAATTAAATCATCGAATTATAATTAAAATTAGTGTCAAAACAGCACCATGAAATGCAATTTAAAAGCCCTTTATTTTAAAAAATTCAGCTCTCTAAGGCTTGTTGGAACAATAAAAAAGTAATTGTGTGCTGCTGGAAAGATAGTAAGTTGGGAGCCAAGCTATTGTCCTTGAGAAGGGAGCATAGGAGCAGCCACCAAGTCAGCCCTGTCTTGTATACCTACTAAAGGTGGGTCATAATAATAATAATAATAATAATAATAATAATAATAATAATAATAATAATAACAATAATACCCTGCCTTTTGTAGAGCAATCAAGGCGGCTTACAACTAAAATGAATTGAATAAAACTACCCTAAGATAAACAATAAACGAAGTTACAATAAGAATAGCCCCCCATTAAAAATATATTAAATAGACATGTCAGTTAAAAGCACAGCATAAAATAAAACATTAAAACATTAAACACTAACTCTCCAGGACACAATGAGAAAGTGGTGGGGGGGGGATATCCAACAGGAGGGAGACCAGGTAGTTTATTCCAGATAGGCCTGCCGGACGAGATCCATCTTGATAGCTTTTTTAAAGCCATTTAAGCTGGTTATCTGATGGATCTCCTCTGGCAAAGCATTCCAGAGTTTGGGGGCGGTGACAAAGAATGTCCTCTGGGAGGTTACTGCTAGTCTAGTTTTTAATGCTTGGAGCAGCTTCCTCCCAGAGGACCTGAGGGTGTGGGGTAGATTATGTGGAAGAAGGCGATCTCCTAGGTAAGCTGGGCCCAGGCCAGTAGGGCTTTAAAGGTCATCACCAACACTTTATACTTTGCTTGGAAACCAATAGGCAGCCAGTGGAGAGATTTCAGAATGGGTGTAATATGATCAGTCCTGGATGTTCCGGTGATCAACCTGGCTGCCATATTTTGTACTAATTGTAGTTTCCAAGGACCATGCAGGGAAGGTATGATCAATCAATAGCCTGAAGTGTAAGTGTAAAGAGCCAGCATGGTGTAGTGGTTTGAATGCTGGACTACAACTCTGAAGATCAGGGTTCAATTCCCTGCTCAGCCATGCAAACCCACTGGATGACCTTTGGTGAGTCACGCATTCTCAGCTCCACAAAACCCTGTAATAGGTTTGCACTGGGGTCACCATAAACTGGAAACGACTTGAAGACAACAACAAGTCTTCTGGTCATATTAAGTATATATTGTCATATGATTCCATAGGCTATGGCTGTGATCCTGGATCAGTGAAACATGGTTTAAAATTCTGCCAGGCATAGTATGCAGTTCTGCTAAACTAATCGCCTTCCTGATCCCCATCACCACCACTTTTACTTGCTGAAGCCCCCAACATGGCTGTTTACTGTCCAGATGAGAGAACAGGTAGGGTGAGGTGGCAGAGGAGCACCCAGTTATTTTTTGTGACTTCCCAGGAGTGTTCTCCCCACAATCACTCTCCCCCAGAATTGTGTATCCAGGGGTCCTTTGGCAGCCCTGAAGGATGATACCAGTTCTACATCCAGATTTAGGAATGTAGCTGGATAGTTTTCTGTCTGAATCTGTTGTGAAGGCTATAGGGGATAAAACAGGGCCTTTGGGAAGGAATTTTGTTGTGCAAGGCTGCAGAGAATTTGAATCTCTGAAATGCAGAGACATAAGTTGGATTTAATGCCGGCATACTTCACTAAACTTGGTATAACTATTGAGAAAAGTCAGGGAAGAAAGTGCAAAAGCAAGGTTACAGATGAACATTAAGAAAACACAAATATGACCACAGATAATTTGCACAACTTTAAAGTGAATGATGAAGACACTGAAATAGTTAAAAGACATGCTATATCTTGGCTCAGTCATGAATCAAAATGGAGGCCCTATACAGACTGCCAGAAATAATCCAATTTGAGGCCACTTTAACTATCCTGGCTCTGTGCTAGGGAATCATGGGAACTGTAGTTTTTTTCTGAGACATTGAGCCCTCTCTGTCAGAGAGCTCTGGTGCCACAATAAACTACAATTCCCAGGATTCCCTAGCACTGAGCCATGGCAGTTAAACTGGTCTCAAACAGGATAATTTCTTCAGTGTGTTTTGGACCTTAATCAATGTTATGGGATTCTGTGATCTGTAGTTTTATGAGATAAAAAAGAGGATAATGACCACATTACAAGTGGATTGACTCAGTCAAGGAAGCAGGGACCCTGAGTTTGCAAAACATGAGCAGGGCTGTTGATATCAGGGACTTTATGGCAATTAACAAAGAATGCCAGCCTATAATGATGCAGCACACAGTGACATCAATGCACAATGGCAATATGACAAGTATTTTCAAAATAGCAATAAGACAGTATTTAGTAAGAGAAAAGTGGATTCAGAAAGAATCAGTTCCACTAACAAAGCAAAAATTAATCCTATTATTGAGACCACATTTCTCACTTTCTCAATTATTCTTATAAAAGGCATTTTTATCACTACGCACAAATTAGCTATGATCTATTGAAATTCCATTTCATTGTTAAGGCAACATGGATAGTTTTTTTTTCCTTCAAATGATTTGCAAATGTTAGGTTTGGGACAACAACACATCATGCTAAAAATGTCAGAGGGCTGTGACATTTTGCAGACAGAGCTTGTCTGCTGTCAAATTAAAAGACATGTCATCAGTGTATCCCTGGGGCTCTAAGATCATCTTTTTGCAAACTATCAAGGGAATCATGGGATTAGACTTCTGAATTTAAAGGCAACCTGTGGGCAGATCTGCTTCACTTTATGCTCTCTATTTTTAATAACTACTAAAAAACTGAATGTGGCTGCTGTTCTAACAACAGCTATGATGCCTATTCCCATTGTAATCAATGGGATTTAAGCAGGTCATGTGTGTTCAGAATTGAAGCTGAGGGTTTTTTCTGCAGGCATTTGACATTGTTTAGTACAATGGGCCCTTGGTATCCTCCAGGATTTGGTTCCAGAACCTGCCTGTTGATACCAAAATCTTTGAATGCTCAAGTCCCATTATATACAATGGTGTGGTGAAATGCTGTGTTTATCTAAAATGATAAAATCAAGATATGCTTTTTGGATTTTTGGGGAGGAATATTTTCTAACTGTGGATGGTTAAATCTGTGGATGCACAATCCATGGATACAGAGGGCCAACTGTGCAGAGAGACTTTCTGGCTCAAATCCAATTTAATGCTTAAAGGATTGAAAATCTCTACTAGCACACTTGTCTTTGATTCATCCTTTGTGCATTTGTACAAGTGGTTGTACAAATGGCTATAGAAATGGCTGTGCAAAAGGTTACACAACTGCATTGCAGGACCACTTGCACAAAAAATGCTATACAGTACTCTACCCTTGTGCTAACTGTGAAAAAGAGCAAAGGGCATTACATTCCTTCAAGGATATATTTATTAATTCATTATTATTTAATTTATATCCTGCTTTGTATGACCCTCCAGATATTGTCAAATGACAATACCCATGCTTCACCATTGGCTATGCTAGTTAGGACAACTGGAAATTGTTGTTCAGCACCATCCGGAGGGCCCCAAAACCCCCACATCTGTTTTAAATGAATGCATGAGAGAATACAACAGCATATATTTCAAAGAAAAAGCATGCTCAGTTCACCAGTAAAACAGCCAGACAGGATAATTTGCAGCTGCAAGCTGAAATATTATAATGCTTTTTGACCATTTTCCTTCCAAACATACATCTTCCTCCACTGAAACTGAATGATATACAGGCATTTGCACATCTTTATCATTTCCAGCACAGGCAGAAAATTAAATGCACTTCCAGTGCCAGCTACTGTTACAAGAACTCCTTAACTCCATCCATCAATAACTTGTCATGCTTAAAGCTCCTGTACTGAATCTTCTACTCTTGACCATAGTGGCTATGTTACTACTGTAGACAGATTAAACGTTAAAGTAACTGAGAAGAAATGCTTTTATATGTGTTGATATACATGTAACACTCTCAGATAAGGGGACAGCCAACAGGATGGCTGATGCTACAGCAACAATTGAAACATAGGGTATTAGGGCACTTTAGTAGCAACAAAGCTATTGAAACATGACACATATAGGCCAGTGAGAATTAAGGCCAGCCCTGTTATTAGGCAGAATGGAATAGCTACTCACAGGCAGAATAATAGAATCATAGAGTTGGAAGAGATCACAAGGGACATCCAGGGGTTCCCTGTCATGCAGAAACACACAATCAAACCACTCCTGACAAATGCATATCGAGCCTCTGTTTAAAAACTTCCAAAGGAGACTCCACAACACTTTGAGGCAGTGTATTCTACTATTGAACAGTTCTTATCATCAGGAAATTCTTCCCAATGTTTAAGTGGAATCTCTTTTCTTTTAGTTTTAATCAATTGCTCTGACTTTGGAGCAGCAGAAAGCAAGCTTCATACACCTTCAATATGACATCCTTTCAAATGTTTAATTATGGCTATCATGTCACTGTTTAACCGTCTCTTCTTGAGGCTAAATATACCCCACTCACTAAGCCGCTCCTCATAGGGCATGATTTCCAGGCCTTTCACCATTTTGATCACCATTCTATGGAGATGTTCCAACTTGTCAAGTTGGATTTGAATTGTGGTGTCCAGAATTGTGGTGTCTTGAATTGTGGTGTCCAGAACTAGAGATAGTATTCAGGTGGGGTTAAGATTTTGGATGAAAGAGAACCATATGGTTAGTTATTTAATTTCTGGTTATTGTTCTGGTTACTGTATTAGGGGAAGAGCATTTGTGAGTTTCCATCTCATGTGCCAACATGGGCTCCCACATGCACCTAGACTTCTGTAGATGAGTGTCATTTGTTGTTCTGCTTCAGTAAACAAGATGGCTTATGCAGGTTCTGAATTCTGTTCTGGTCTTGGTGTTGCTTAACATCTTTATAAATAACTTAGGGCCTGTACAGACTAACCACAAGGGCCAGCCTGGGGGTGGAGTTGGGGCAGGGTGACCGTACCCAGGTGCCCCATCAGGGCGCTCCCTTGGTGCAGCATGTAGACACACTATGCCAAAGGGGCACAGAAGAGCCATGTGGCAGTGGTAAGGGTGACTTTTTTGCTGCTTCAAAAAGGAGGAGCATTTGCCAGCTCTTTTTGGAGCAGCAAAGGGATGGATCCTGCGGCCCCAATCCAGTGCTTGTCTCTACTGCCCCTTAGACACTGGAATGGATGCATGCTCATCAAATTTGCAGATGACACCAAATTAGGAGGGATAGCTAATACCCCAGAGGACAGGATCAGAATTCGAAATGACCTTGACAGATTGGAGAGCTGGATCAAAACTAACAGAATGAATTTCATCAGGGAGAAATGAGAGATACTACACTTAGGGCCTCTACAGACAGGCAACCATGGGCCGCCCCAAGAAGCTGAGGATTGGGGCCAAGGCTGCCCCACGTCTCGGCCCCAATCCACCCTTTTGGCGGCTGGGAATGTAGCGCTAAAATAGCGCTCCTTTCCCAAGGCCCAGAAAGGGAGCTGGAAGAGCCATTGTGCATCTCTTCCATGTCTCTTCCGGCTCAGCCCGTGCAGACGCTGGGCCAGGTGGACATCATCAGAGCGCTCACTGTGTAGAATGGTGGATGCTCTGATGATGTCCTCGGGAAGGTGTTGGGGCATCCAGTGTTCGGCTGCCCCTCCCCTTCCTTGGCTCCAAGACGGCGCTTTGTCAGAAAAAATTAAATAAAGAGGTATAGGATGGGTGATATTTGGCTTGAAAAGGGAACTTAGTAGACTACAAGCTAAACATGAGTCAACAGTGTGATGCAGTCATCAAAAAAGCCAAAGCAAATGACTAGACAATAGATCAACATACAAAGTACAAAAATATTACTCCCCCCCCCTCAAATATTCTGAGTACCTGCATGTGAAAGAGATTATTGTTATTGGTTGGAATCCTGTCGGGCAGGATTCTAATGCAAAACCTAGAGTGATACACTTGTGACTGTTTGTATGAATGATCCCTACATATGCCCTAGTTCAAGGGATGCACTGAAATTGTGAAAGTCTCCCAATTCCTACTTACTAGGCAGTGAATG